TTCAGGGCAGTAGGTAAGTGCACGGTAAATCCCACTGAAGTTAATCAGACTTCAGCATGAGTCTTGCACATATTTACTGCCCTGAATAGGGATGGATCTAAACACATGCTTAAGTGCTTTTTCCTAGCCTCTGTGTGTGTGTGTGTGAGAGAGAGAGAGAGAGACAGAGTCATCTGCCACTGGATAAAGGAGTCTGCCAGGAGAGCTAGTCAAAGGTCAGTGAAAGGCATTCTAAGTACAATAAATACCTGTCCTTGAAATTGTGTTGCCCCTTTTTGACCCAAGCAGCTAGCCAAAGTTCAGGGCCCTAAGGATCATAGAATCATAGAATATCAGGATTGGAAGGGACCTCAGGAGGTCATCTAGTCCAACCCCCTGCTCAAAGCAGGACCAATCTCCAACTAAATCATCCCAGCCAGGGCTTTGTCAAGCCTGACCTTAAAAATATCTAAGGAAGGAGATTCCACCACCTCCCTAGGTAATGCATTCCAGTGTTTCACCACCCTCCTAGTGAAAAAGTTTTTCCTAATATCCAACTTAAACCTCCCCCACTGCAACTTGAGACCATTACTCCTTGTTCTGTCATCAGCTACCACTGAGAACAGTCTAGATCCATCCTCTTTGGAACCCCCTTTCAGGTAGTTGAAAGCAGCTATCAAATCCCCCTTCATTCTTCTCTTCCGCAGACTAAACAATCCCAGTTCCCTCAGCCTCTCCTCATAAGTCATGTGTTCCAGTCCCCTAATCATTTTTGTTGCCCTCCGCTGGACGTTTTCCAATTTTTCCACATCCTTCTTGTAGCGTGGGGCCCAAAACTGGACACAGTACTCCAGATGAGGCCACACCAATGTTGAATAGAGGGGAATGATCACGTCCCTCGATCTGCTGGCAATGCCCCTATGTATACATCCCAAAATGCCATTGGCCTTCTTGGCAACAAGGGCACACTGTTGACTCATATCCAGCTTCTCGTCCACTGTTACCCCTAGGTCCTTTTATGCAGAACTGCTGCCGAGCCATTCGGTCCCTAGTCTGTAGCGGTGCATGGGGTTCTTCTGTCCTAAGTGCAGGACTCTGCACTTGTCCTTGTTGAACCTCATCAGATTTCTTTTGGCCCAATCCTCTAATTTGTCTAGGTCCCTCTGTATCCTATCCCTACTCTCCAGCGTATCTACCTCTCCTCCCAGTTTAGTGTCATCTGCAAACTTGCTGAGGGTGCAATCCACACCATCCTCCAGATCATTTATGAAGATATTGAACAAAACCGGCCCCAGGACCGACCCTTGGGGCACTCCACTTGATACCGGCTGCCAACTAGACATGGAGCCATTGATCACTACCTGTTGAGCCCGACAATCTAGCCAACTTTCTAACCACCTTATAGTCCATTCATCCAGCCCATACTTCTTTAACTTGCTGGCAAGAATACTGTGGGAAACCGTGTCAAAAGCTTTGCTAAAGTCAAGGAACAACACATCCACCGTTTTCCCCTCATCCACAGAGCCAGTTATCTCGTCATAGAAGGCAATTAGATTAGTCAGGCATGACTTGCCCTTCGTGAATCCATGCTGACTGTTCTTGATCACTTTCCTCTCCTCTAAGTGTTCCAGCTGGAAGTAGAAATTGATGGAGGCTGGTATTTTCTTTGATGCAGTCTTGATTATTAACAAAGGAATGTACAAGGTCCGGCTCCTCCAAATGCAGGAGGAATCAAGAATAAAAAGGAGCAGTTTCTTAGCTTACAGACCCAAGCTTCTTTATCCAATGCCAGACCCAAAAGCTCACTGACTTTTTCCAGGGTAATGCTGAGTTCACACGTTGCTGCTTGGCTTTTTGCCTCTTGGTCCCCCTGTGTGTTCTGCCGCTCACAAACACATGTATAACACAAACAGTACTCAGCCAAACAACCTCTCCCCCAAATTCTTGGGGGTTCACAAACCCCCCTTTTGTCTTGGGGGGAGGGGACTTCTGATTAACTCATCCTGACAGTTGAGTGCAAATACTTCCAGTGTCAAAGAGATTTGTGATCCAAGCAGTCACCAGCATTTCTCAGCATAACAATATCAAAAGTAAAGCTAGAAGGAGACTATCTGCAGGCTGCACATTGCAGAGATGATTTCTTCATTCCTTTTACCTTCGTATGCATTTGTGTCTGCAGCGAGAGGGGACTGTTATGCAATTGTGTGTTGGAGGGTGTGGGTAGTTTATCAGTAGAAAGGGAGATTGGCGATGGTAGTTGGAGCTGTGGTGGTGGATCAGAGCACCTAGAGATAGTGTGCACAGGGGGAAAGGAAGACCCCACTCAAAAGCAGGCATGGCCACATTTGGCACTAGGTGCAGCTTCTGCCAAAGGTGACTCTAAGCAGGGCAAAAGCACCTTCCTGGAGGTGACAAAGGCATGGATAATTCTGGCAAAGTCTGTATCATAGAGCAAAGGTAACAATCTCAGGGCAGTAAAGCACACTTCAGGCCTTCAGTGGTCTCTGGGAATCCAGACACAGAGATGAACCCAGTAAAACACCAAGACAAAGCCTTATTCTGCTCCCATTGAAGTGAGTGAGTTTTGCCATTGATTGACTACAGGTGGAGCTGGGTAAGGCCCAAAAAGTGGGAATGCCCTTTCAGTGGAGGGAATGCTTATACCTATGAGCTATTAGTCTCCATCTCTACCAGATGTGCTTGTCTGGATTTAAACCAGATGCTGTAGCATCTAATTTAGCTTGGCACTGGGAAATCACGAGACCAGGAAATCTAGACTCAGGGCTTGGCTACACTTGCGAGTTAGAGCGCATTAAAGGAGCCCCGGGTGCACTAGCTCACTACCCGTCCACACTGGCAAGGCACGTACAGCACTCTGACTCGGGGGCTAGAGCGCTCCTGGTACTCCATCTTGGCAAGTGGAATAACGTTTTGTGCGCCCCCCGCTGGAGCACCGCGGTGCCAGTGTGGATGCCCTGGTCTGTTAGTGCGCTCTGAATGGCCTCCGGAAATGTCCCACAATGCCTGTACTAGCCACTCTGGTCATCACTTTGAACTCTACTGCCCGGCCCTCAGGTGACCAACCGTCAGACCTGTCCTTTAAATTCTTTGAGAATTTTGTCAATCCCCTTCCTGTTTGCTCAGCTAGGCATGGAGTGTTCTCAGTGAATCTTTCCAGGTGACCATGCCTGCACACGCCAGGCAATCCCCAGTATGGAGCAATGGTGAGTTGCTGGACCTCATCAGTGTTTGGGGGGAGGAAGCTGTCCAGTCCCAGCTGCGCTCCAGCCGTAGGAAATATGATACCTTCAGGCAGATATCAAGGGACATGATGGAAAGGGGCCATGACCGGGATGCACTGCAGTGCAGGGTTAAAGTGAAGGAGCTGCAGAATGCCTACCACAAAGCCCGCAAGGCAAACAGCCACTCTGGTGCTGCTCCTGCAACCTGCCGTTTCTACAAAGAGCTGGACGTGATACTTGGGGCCGACCCCACCTCCACTCTGAGTACCACAATGGACACTTCAGAGCCCAGTTCAACAAGGCAGGAGGAGGAGGAGGAGCAGCAAAGCGGGAGCAAGGGTGCTGAGGCGGAGGAAGACATCCCAGAATCCCTAGATGCATGCAGTCAGGAGCTGTTCTCAAGCCAGGAGGAAGGTAGCCAGTCGCAGCAGCCGGTGCTTGGGGAAGGAGAAACACCAGAGGAGGTTCCTGGTAAGCGGCTTTTATTTTGGGAAGGAAGTTATTCAGTGTGGGCTTTTGGGGCAAGGAGGGTTAGGGCTGCATGCATGCCTGAATGCGGAATAGGGCGTTGATGCGCTCTCTCACATTGTGGTAATCAGCCTCAGTGATCTCTTCAAAGGTCTCATCCAGAACTTGGGCAATGCGTTTGCACAGGTTTCTTGGGATAGCCACTCTGGTCCTTGTCACAGTAAGGCTAACTTGTCCACACCACTGTGCCGTGAGGGGCCGGGGGGACCATTGCTGCATACAGGCAAGCTGCATATGGGCCATGGTGGAAGCCGCATTGCAGTAGAATACCCTCCCTTGCTTCCCAGGTCACCCTCAGCAGTGAGATATCTTCCAGGACTAACTCCTGTGGAAAATGTGGGGACAGTGTTCAGTATAGGGGCCCCCTGCCTCTGTTGGCTCTCCCCAAGGCACAGAAATCCAGAGGACAGTACAGCCGTGAAACAATCAGTCACGCTTGACTCTGTGCTTACTCACCATTTTGGGGCTCCCATGGGTTATGTGTGCTTGCTTTGGCACGGGCAAATTGTGCTATTGTGTAGACCGTGCTTGCCCTTAAGTACAGGGGAATCATTGCGCTGTCTCGTGTGAACAGTGCTGCCTCTGTTAAGTGTTGCATTTTGCCTTTACAGATGCAACCTTGAGATCTCAGTCATCCATGTTATCACTGGCCAAAAGACTCCAAAGAATCAGAAAGAGGCAACGTAGTATCCAAGGTCTTGGAAAAAAATGTTGAAGGAGAAAGTAGCTAAGGACATTGAGGTCAGTGGTAATTGGGACAAAATACAACATGGTTTTACAAAAGGTAGATCGTGTCAAACCAACCTGATCTCCTTCTTTGAGAAGGTAACAGATTTTTTAGGCAAAGGAAATGCAGTGGATCTAATTTACCTCAATTTCAGTAAGGTATTTGATACTGTTCCACATGGATCTGCTTTGAGACCTTTAACAACGCAAAACAGCACAAGAGTGCAGATGAAGCATCAGGCCAGTCCAAACCTCATATACGTCAAACCCAAGGACAAAACAAAACACTCTGGTAAAAAACATCCATGCAAACACAACTCCAGTTCTTTGGTGGTTCTCGGGGAGGTGTACTTGTAGCTCCCACTGCAGCCTTGTCAGAAGGGCTGCACATGCCTGATTGGGGCAGGGGGGAAAAAAAGCATTTTACAAAAATGTAACTTTGCCAGCTTTCTCACCCACACCTAAGTATTTACTAAAATAAAAAACCTCATAAATTAACCAGACTAATAAGCAAAATATATTTACCCAGCTTCATCCATCCATCCGTCACTGATACTGGTGAATTTTTCTTTTCAGTTGTCTCTTTCCTTTTCTTTTGAGCATTTTTACCCCCTCATGTTTTGACCGTACTGTAAAGCAAACAACATTCTAATAAAACACATGAAACTGTCTAGTAAATTTTAAAATAAAAAATATATATTCATTAGGGTGTTTTTTCTATTTAAAAAAGTCATAGCTTTAAAACAAAATAATCCATTTCAGGCTGTACAACAAACACAGGTTTTGAGTTTATTTCTACCACTTTAAAAACAACCCCCACAAATATTTTTTTAAAAAATACATCTCATTTTGCAAAGTAAAACCAAAAGAAACAAACCGTTACCATCAGTTTGTAGACATATACTTTTTAAAAACTACCTATGTTTTACACACACACACACACCCCAGCAGTTTAAAACACTGTTTGCACCAAAATACTTTTCAATAAACCCACATGCTTTTAAAAAGACCCCCGGTTGTTCTGTCCCCCGCCCCGCCCCAGCCATGTGTGCTAGGGGCCTTTGGGTTAAAAAAACAAGCCAAAATGTTAGTTAGTATTACCCCCTAAATCCTATTCAACCTATGTAATACCTGAAGTTATTAAGCACAACTACAGTTAAAAATGTTTTTTTCCTTGGCCTGGTGATGAACTGCAACTTAAAGTTACTGGTTCCATGCTAAACAGATCACACTGCAATAAAGATAGGCACCATTATTTACTAAGACAGCATGGCCAAAGAATGGCATTATATAATATATATATATATTTTTTTCAGAGTTAACCACCACCCCCCCCGCCCGTAGTGCCTTCTTACAGTAACTATTTCAAGTGAGGGGCCCTTTGCAGATATCAGTGAATGTCTAGGGGCTTGGGGTTTTTTTGTTTGTTTGTTTTTTTGTTTTTAAAAACATGTTTCTTTCATGCATAAAGTTTGGTGGGGTGGGGGTGCTTTCTAGAAAAAGTGCCCCATGGCCTTCAACCAACTCCTGGGTCATATTTAAACTGGCCTATAGTGTTCCACCAACTCCTGGCATCATATTTAAACTGTCCAATAGAGTTCTGCCAACTCCAGGGGTTATATTTAAACTGTCCAATAGCATCTGCAAACTCCTGAGGTTTTATTTCATTTCATATTAATCAGAACTCACCATCCTCAGCCACCCACCTCCCTTACTATGGGTGCACTCCCATCAAAATTAACCCTGTGGCAACAAGGGTGAGTAATCACAGTCACCCTGGCTATTCAGTGAGGGGGGTGGTTAAACCCATTCAGTTCAACAGAGTAAGTCAGCTCTATTGTACTCAACCACATGTCTGAACCATCCCTGTTTGTTTTATTGTAAACACATTTTTAGGATATTTTTCCCCCTCCCACAACATACATTTCAGCTTTTTTTGCTGTAAATGGGTCTCTCTTACACAAAAGACACAAGAGCTAGGTTCTCACAAACAAATTTTTTATTTAAAAGACATACAGCTCCTTGAAAACAAACCAAGATGCTCCATTAAAAAAAAAAAGAAAAAAAAACAAACTTTAAGCTCCCTTAAGGGCCAGAGACCTTTTAACAGAAATACAGACAATCACAAAGTCCTTTTCAATAGATTTTTTTTTTTAATTTACAGCTACCAAGTTTTATATCGCATGTTCGGCCCCTCACCATTTTATAACTTAATCCTTTTAGATTTCTTACAAATAGCCTTTTTCTTAAGCAGGGTTCTATAACTTTTCGTGCGGACCAGACGGTCAATATAACGCTCTAAGCGGGCATCTTCCGGTTTGGTCATTTTCTTTAAAACATGGTCAGGGTCTCCACTGAATTGCACAGCATTTATCAAGGTCACCCCTTGCGCTAAATGTTCTTGGGTTAGGCACAGACATTGCATAGCATAACCTATGGCAATAACAGTGTTTAATAAGCTTTCCAAACACAGCTCAGCACACAGGCCCCAGAGCTTGCAGTTTATATCCACTGAAGTCCAAGTCACACAGTCATGGTGCAGCTGACCTGGTGCATCTATGACACAGCCCTCACAATCTTCAAAAAACTTTTCCCTAAGACAGTGATTAAGAACAGCATAAACAGCAACGCATACAATAGTCCGCCTGACTTTTTTACGCTCACGACGTGGCACTGGCTCAGTCAGTTCCATGCCAGCCTCCTCCTAAACTCCTCATTGCCGTCATCCTCGGAGTCCTCTTCAACATTTTGTATCGGCGTTGAGCAAAAACAAGGTGGGCCCGGTTCATCTTTGCTGCTTGATGCAACGCTGTCCAGGGTCTCCGGGTCCTCTAGAAAGGCATCGTCGAGCTGTCGAGAGTTTTTTTTTTTTCAGAAAAGAAACAGTGTAATCACCCCACTGCTTGGTTTTTGATTTACACAATCCCTGGTTCCTAGCCCCATTACACCCCCAACCCTCGACCGTCACTTCTTAAACATTCATTTACTTCTTAAACATTCATTTACCTGAGTGTTGTCTTTTCCGTTCAGCTTGTCCACTAGTGACTCCCCCAAGCTGCGATTGCCTTCTTCCTCCAGGGGGATGGACAAGAGGCCATCATGCTCATCGCGGTGCCTCACAAGCAGCTGGGTTTCGGGTTCCAGTGTATCCATCAATGGCTGAGCCAAAGGCTCCCCTCAGTCGCCCGCTCCTCCTCCTTGGAACTCTCGCTGATGTAGCGCTTTCTCTGCGGTTTGTCAAAGGGGCTAAAACAAAGTCCGAAGTTCTCACGGGGGTGGTGAAGAAGTCCATGTTTCCGCGATTTCTAAAACACACGCTCTTGGTAAAAGATGGCCTCTTCTGCCCGATGCTGGGACTCATGGGGTGATGGTGCTCTGATTGGCAGAGGGATCACCCGTCCCTCTTCTGGGCGGTTCACCCCATCCCAGAACCTGCCCGATTTTGGTCAGATCTGCTCTCAGTGTGGCTTGATTGGTAGAGGTTGGTGAGAGGAGTTGTTAGAGGGGTCACACGAATCATTTCCGGACGGGTCACCCCGCCCCAGAACTCATCCTGATTGGTCAAATCTCCTCTCTGGGCGGTCCTACAGGGGCAAAACCCATCCTGATTGGTAGAGGGTGGGGGAGGAGTTGTTAGAGGGGTCACATGACCCACTTCTGAAGAGGACACCCCGCCCCAGAACTTGCCCTGATTGGTCAAATCTCCTCTCGGGGCAATCCTAGAGGGGTGAAACCCCTCCTGATTGGTAGAGGGAAGTGGGAGGAGTTGTTAGAGGGGTCACATGACACACCTTGCTTCCGGTCACGTGGCAGCCTTGACCCCAGAAGTAATACCCCCATGGGGTGGGACTTCCGGTGAAGCGGCAGGGGTCAAGGGGTGGGGTTAGGGTTTGATTGACAGTAGGGCCCTTATACTACCTAGCAAAGAAGCAAAGCTAGTATAAGTTAGGCTCTGCCTGCTTGCAAGCTCACAGAATCTGGTAAGAACAGGGCTGATATTGCAAAAACACATATTCCTAGGAAGTACTAGGCACAGGACAGTCATGCAAACACGTTCCTGAAAGATGGTACTGGAACACCCCAATAGCAAGTGGGTACAAACACATTCCTCGGAGATAACAGGACCATGTTGACCCTTATTAAAGATAAAGTCAGGATGACAGTGTGATGGATAGAGATGTTTAATGGAACCAACACGTACAAGGTAGAGGGTGGTAAATGACCATGTCAGAGAGGCAATACGTAACTTGTTTGTACTGCTATATAAAATGGAGTCTCATAGGAAGTGTCCTTGGCCAGCCTAGGGAGCAGTGGAATGTCCTGCCACTGACTGAGCTGGTCCATTGTGACGAGCATACATGTGTTAATGGTCCTGTAGAGTCTATGGGATACTAGGACCATGCTTCGTTAACAATAAACCTGACAAAGTTCCTTCAACTGCGTCTGTGGTTATTGGGCAGTTCGAGCAAGATCTGCACAGAGCTGGGACAGCACAAAGAGAGAACACACACACGCAGACCATCTGATGGCACATGGCACATTGGAGGTCGCATGGCCGGTCTCATTGGGAGGTGGCAGTCAGATGCCAGTGAGGCTATATATGTTCACAGCACAATAACTCCATAGTTAAATTAGTGGAGTCTCTGCAGAAGCATAAGGTTCTTTGGCTGCTCTAACTGTGCATTTCGTTACATGTACTTCTAATAAATTCAGCCTTAACTCTGAATTCCCTGAGTTTGTACCATTTGTCTTGGGCATAATTACAACACCCTTGTAATATATTCTACCCTAAATTACTGATATGGCTCTCAGCCTTAAATCCATTTTAATTTAGCAGTCAGACTGGAAATAGAAACAAAAATAAAGTGTCGACCAAGAAATGTGTCATTGTGGCCTTATTTCTTGCAGCGGTGGTGGCAGAAGCAGCTCTTCCAGAGAGATATGAAATGAGATGAGTTTAGTGGCCCTGGGACCCTGAGCCTACAAAAGGCATCCCACCCAGAGACGGCGGTGTGGCAATCTCTGCATCTACCATTGCATGGACCAATGAGCTCCACAAAGCAAAGGAGAGATTCCAGGAAACCACAGGTGCCACCAGGGTAATCTACTGCACAGGAAGGGATGTGAAAGAGAACAGAGGCAGGAACTGATTCAGGGAATTCCTATGGCTTGTGTTATGCAGGAGGCTAGACTATATTATCACAAGGTGGGTCCCTTCTGGCTTTAATATCTAGGAATCTCTCTGTTAGAGTCTGAGCCACATGATTATGCTAGAGCGACAGGAGGATGGATCCAGAAAAGGGAGAATGGGGGGGGTTACAATTTATTTCCTGCTAGATAATGTGTTACCTCAAAGCAGAATGAAGAGGTTCAAGGTGATTTAGGAATTACTGAAAACTCAGATGACACTTAAGAGCATTAAGGGACAATGCCAGATCTGTTAGCTCTGATGATTCTCTCTCTGGCCAATCTGCAAAGGCTGGTTGTGACTAGGAACAACCAAGGACTCCCCAATCACAGAAGAATAAAATGAAGCCAGATTCTTCCCTTGTCATCCAAGGCCAGCTATATTAAGTAGATGGCAGTTATTTTTGGCATGACCCACCACCTCTTCATTGGCATGGGTATG